GTGATGCATGCTCTCGAGTCAAACCTGGCCTCCATCTGTTTTTAAAAACAAAGTCCTATTGCCGGCGCCGCGGCTCACTAGGCTAATCCTCCGCCTAGCGGCGCCGGCACACTGGGTTCTAGTCCCGGTCGGGGCGCCGGATTCTGTCCCGGTTGCCCCTCTTCCAGGCCAGCTCTCTGCTGTGGCCAGGGAGTGCAGTGGAGGATGGCCCAGGTGCTTGGGCCCTCCCCATGGGAGGCCAGGAGAAGCACCTGGCTCCTGGCTCCTGCCATCGGATCAGCGCAGTGCGCCGACCGCGGCGGCCATTAGAGGGTGAACCAACGGCAAAGGAAGACCTTTCTCTCTGTCTCTCTCTCTCTCACTGTCCACTCTGCCTGTCAAAAAAAAAAAAAAAAAGTTAAAAAAAAAAAAAAACAAAGTCCTATTGGAACACAGCCACGCCCATCTGTAGTCACAGTCTCTAGCTGTCATTGTGCCCCTTGGCAGAGTTGAGTTGCTGCTACAGAGACAGTATGGCTGCAAAGCCATAAACTTTTTAAAGGCTGGGATATAAACTATCTGGCCCTTCCCTGGAGGTGGTTTGCTAATCCCAGAGTTAAAGTGCCCTGATACCTGCAACTGCCTTGCAAATTGTTTAGCGAAACCACAAGGACCAAATCTGTCCAACTAAGACCAAAAGAGAGAATCAGAAACAGGAATGCAAATATGGCAAAATATTAATAATTCAGGTAGAGAATATATCAGTGTTCATTCTCTTCTTTCAACTCTCTGCAGGCTTGAAACTTTTTTAATACAATGCTCTGGGAGTAAATTTTCATTCATTTGAAAAGAGACTCTCCAAAGTAAATTCCAAATCAAGGGAAACTTAAATGAAGAGACCAATAGCAATGTAAATATACAACTAGGAATTGCATTATATTTTAAAATGGGAACAATCTCATTCACAACAATAACAAAAATATTAAACCTAAGGTTTAACTGAAAAAAGAAACGCAGAACACATAAAAATAATAAATTTTACCAAGGACTGAAAAATAGAAGCACATAGGTATTAGGTAAGTTATTAAGAATGTTCGGGACAGGGTGGTCAGTATATTTACATGTGTTTTAAAAATTTAACAAATACAAGAGGAAGCTTAGAAAAACAGGAAAAACACCACATTCCTAAACAAAATGATTCAATGATTCAGTCTTGTAAAAATATCCATTTTCCACCAACACAGCGACAATGCTGATGCAAGTCCAATGAAAATCACTGTGGTTTTTGCTGTTGTTGGGGGTGGCTGGTGGAGATGAGTAGAAGGACAGCACCGAAATAATTCAAAAATTTCCATGATGGAAAACAATGAGTGAGATCAGCCGAAAATATTTTTGGAAATGAAGAGTAATGATAATGTTCTTAATAGATGTTAAAATTTATTTTAAAGCTATAATAATTAAACAATTAAGTCTGGCTCAGGAATAATAAGTCTGAGAAGAAAAATCTACAAAGAGATTCAGAAGTAAATAAAAAGTAAGCCTTCAGTCAAGGCATTGAGAAGGGAGAGGTGAAATAACATAATAAATGATATTGGGTATTAGATGCAACTGGGAAAAAGAAAGCTAGAGTGTTACAACACGCCACTCTCCAAGGTGAAGGAAAATTAAATGTAAGAAATAAAATTCAGCCGGCTCCACAGCTCATTAGGCTAATCCTCTGCCTGCGGCGCCGGCACACTGGGTTCTAGTCCCACTCGGGGCGCTGGATTCTGTCCCGGTTGCCCCTCTTCCAGGCCAGCTCTCTGCTGTGGCCAGGGAGTACAGTGGAGGATGGCCCAAGTCCTTGGGCCCTGCACCCCATGGGAGACCAGGAGAAGTGCCTGGCTCATGCCTTTGGATCAGCACAGTGCGCCGGCCACGGCGGCCATTGGAGGGTGAACCAACGGCAAAGGAAGACCTTTCTCTCTGTCTCTCTTTCTCACTGTCCACTCTGCCTGTCAAAAAATAAAAAAAATAAAAAGAAATAAAATCACTGGGGCCAGCGCTGTGGCACAGGTTAATCCTCTGCCTGCAGTGCCGGCATCCCATATGGGCACCGGTTTGAGTCCTGGCTGCTCCTCTTCTGATCCAGCACTCTGCTATGGCCTGGGAAAGCACTGGAAGACAGCTCAAGTACTTGGGCCCCTGCACCTGCATGGGAGACCTGGAAGAAGCTCCTAGATCCTGGCTTCAGATCAGCCCAGCTCTGGCCGTTGTGGCCATTTGGGGCATGAACCAGTGGATGGGATACCTCTCTCTCTCTTTGTCTCTCCCTCTCACTGTCTGTAACTCTACCTCTCAAATAAATAAATAAAATATTTGGGAAAAAAAGAAATAAAATCATGAAAGATATATAAAACAATGTAGATTCATATTTTTATAAGTTTGTGGTGACAAGGATATTTCATAACTTTTTGGAGGTGCAGAGAGACACAGAGAGCTCCCCTCTAAATGCCTGCAACATCCAGACCAAAGCCAGGATGCAGGAATGCAATCCAGGTCTCCCACGTGGGTGGCTGGAACCCAATTACTTGAGCCATCACCACCGCCTCCCTAGATTTGCATTAGCAAGAAGCTGGAGTCAGGAGTTGAAGTTAGGACTAAAACCATGTATTCTGTTGTGAGACACAGGCATTTTAACCAAAATGCTCACCCCTTTTTTCAAAATTTTTGATAAACCTGCAATACTTGCACATTTTTACAATATATTATGTGATTTTTCAACACTTGTATAACTGACCAAATCGGGCAGTCAGCATTTACATTTCTGTAAATGTAATTCTTTATGTTTGGAGTCTACCAGCCTCTCTCTTCCATTTCATGCACAGAGCTTTCTAAGTGTGAAACAAGTAATAGTGGCCGGTGCTGTGGCATAGCGAGTAAAGTCACCACCTGCAGTGCTGGCATCCCATGTGGCGCCTGTTCCAGACCTGGCTGCTCCACTTCCAATCTAGCTCCCTGATATAGCCTGGGAGTGCAGTAGAAGGTGGCCCAAGTCCTTGGGCCCCTGCACCCACATGAGAGATCCAGAAGAAGCTCCTGGCTCCTGGCTTCAAATTGACACAATTCCGGCCATACCGGCCACATGGGAGTGAACCAGTGGATGGTAGACCTTTCTCTCTCTCTCTCTCTCTCTCTCTCTGCCTCTGACCCTCTGTAACTCTACCTTTCAAATAAATAAATATTTTTTTAAAAAAAGGAGCTAGTAATAAAGAAAAGGATCAATAGATTTGAACACTAAATTTTTTATTTATTTGAAAATACCATTAACAAAGTCAAAACACTGAGAAAATATTTCCAACATAGGTAACTTTAAAAGGCCAATGTCTTCACAATCTAATCATCTTAGTGGAAAAGTTCTCTTTTTTTTAAGATTTATTTATTTATTTGAAAGAGTTATATATAGAGAAAAGGAGAGTCAAAGAGAGAGAGAGAAAGAGAGAGAAGTCTTCCATCCGCTGGTTCACTTCCCAATTGGCCGCATCGTCCAGAGCTGTGCCAATCTGAAGCCAGGAATCAGGAGCTTCTTCCAGGTCTCCCACACAGGTGCAGGGGCCCAAGTACTTGAGCTGTCTTCCAGTGCTTTCTCAGGCCGTAGCAGAGTGCTGGATCGGAAGAGGAGCAGCCAGGACTTAAACGGGCGCCCCTATGGGATGCCGGCACTGCAGAAGGCAGCTTTACCGGCTACACCACAGCGCCAGCACCAAAAGTTCTTTAAAATTTAAAAGTGGGCAAACGCTATAAATATACTGACAACCGCAGAACTCCCAGCAAAGACAAACGCCTGTGCTAAGAGACTTGACCAAACTGTCTCCCAGCTTCCAGCAGTGTTAAGTCACGTGCCTAGGATGACCAAGGCTCCAATTAAAATGCCTGCCTGAGAAGTTCCGTGCTGCCAGGAAAACTCACTGTTGGGTTCTCACCAGCACCTGTGGATAGGCCCCCAACTGCCCTGGGTGGAGCAGTCACTGGACAGAATTTACAATCGTGAACGTGTCCCTCACAGCCCAGGGGTGTCTTTCCCAGTGACCTGAAACAGGGCCTCTGTCTCCGCTGTGGGGGGGACAATCTGAACTTCCACGCTGCCCACTCACACTGACGCTGAGCCACCCTCGGTGACTTTTCATTTCCCAGCTCTGCTGAGATCCTGCTCTCCTCCTACCTCACCGCTGCACAGATCCGAATGGAATTCCACTCATTCCCCTAAGGTCAGCAGTTACTCAACAACATCTGTTCTCACCACTTTATTGTCCAGCTGTGTTTGTCTTTTGTTCACAAACAATACACTGTTGAGGTTCAGCATTGTTATTATTTTTTTCTTTCTGATTATCTGTATTTTCTTTGTTTCTCGTCCCCTCCCCCCAAAATTAATTACTGTTATAGGAAAAAAAAAAAAACTCAACATGGAAGACCAAGGAAAAAAAAAGTTTTCTCAGGCAACCTAAGCTTCCTACCAACAGACAAGAAAGCTCCCTTTCCAATTCCCAACTTTCCCAGTATGGATATGCAGACACACCGACTCCCTATCCTAAGCCAGCAAATGTCTACACATAATCTTGGAATTCTCATAAAAAAAAAAAAAACACCTCGAGCAAAGTATTATTATAAACAAGAAAGCAGAGGCTCAGAAAAGCTCAGAAATTCCCCAAGGTCACACAGCAGCAAGCAGCAGAGCTGGAACTGGGTCACGGGCTGGTCTGAGCAGCTCTTCCCAGGCTTCATCTCAGGACCCTTAGTGTGGGGTACAGAAGGCATGAATTCTCACCCTGACGCTGTCCCCGGCCATGGGTATGTGTGGCCCTGGCAAATCTTCCTCATCAGTACAGAGGTGGACTGGCCCACATGGTGTGTTAAGCTCCCTTCTGCTCAGACAGGCCAGATTTCCATTCTCATAAAACGCCCAGTGCCGTGTAATGGCCAGGGACAGGGCCAAATCAGGGAGCAGCCCCGGTGCCTCCCACGGCCGTGTCCCCCTGGCCCACCTTGAACTCCTCGTGGATGCGCTCCTCCAGGACTTTGGCAGCCTTGCGGTCTTCCATCTCCACTTTCCACTTCTCCGCCAGGATCCGGGCTTTCTCATTGGCCAGAGCATCCCGGAACTTCTTGGTGATCTCTGCCTCCTTCCGTCTCCTTCCAGGAAAGCACCAGTAAGGATGAGGACCACACAACAATGAGAGTTCTGCTAGCGACATTGAGAATCTCTCCTGGGTCTATCAGAATGGCAAATATCTAAGCTCAGCAAAACTCAGTAGTAGTACAGGTATGGAAAGACAGGCGCTGTCACGTGCAAGAGTATAAATCCACAGAGCCATTCCAGAAGCCAGGAAAAGACTCCGAAAACCCATTTTTCACACAAGTGTACAAAGGACTATGATGATACTTCAAAAAGTGTGTGGAGGGCCAGCACTGTGGCATAGTGGGTGAAGTCGCCACCAGCCACGCCAGCATCCCACCTGGATACCAGTGTGTGTTCTGGCTGCTCCCTGCTAATAGCCTGGGAAAAGCAGCGCAAGATGGCCCAAATGTCTGGGCCTCTGCCACCCATGTGGGAGACCCAGATGAAGATCCTGGCTCCTGACCTAGGCCTGGCCCAATCCTGGCTATTGAAGCCACCTGGGAAGTGGGCCAGTGGATGGAATATCTCTCTCTCCCTACTTCTCCCTCTTTTTCTATCTAACTCTGACTTTCTAATAAATAAATAAACCATT